TTACTTTACATGAGTTGTGTGTAGAACATTGCAATACTTACGTTTTGGTGTTTAAGGAAATTGTTCAGGTTTGTCTTCATAAAGGAACTGAAAAGAAGATGAATCCGGAGTTTGCTTCCTCTTCCCATATAATAAAATGTAAAGAAAGAGAACTGCAACTAAAAAATGACATCTTTTTTTGGTTTGCTGTGGGGCTGAGTGTTATTACCAGTGTCAGTGTTTTCTGTTGGCTTTTCGGGCTCTTGGACTCTGACTGGATATACAGCATTTATTTCTTCTAGGTGACCCAGAATGGTGCCAAGAAGACAATGTAAGTTCTTGCTTATTTGCATTAGCGATGCAGATGGAAATGTATTGTGACCTTCCTGTGGTAACAGTGACCAGTGCCTCTTGTGTCACCAGGCCCTCAGGTGGTACAAGAGGCTATGAAGCTGATGATTTCGCTGCGAGGGCATGTACCTGTCAGACTGTGGTGAGTGTTCAGGGTGGGCCTGCTGGATGTAAAATTGATGTGGGACCTGGAGAGTGAGTGGGCTACCGCTGGTCCCTGGTCAGCGACCCCCTGCCGTTTCCCTGCTGCTGTCTGCCTTGTCTGCACGCACATGACAGATGACCTTATTGGAATACATCACCAGTGAAGACAGAGGCAAAAATCAAATATCTACATGAGTTCAAATGAACTCTAATCTTAAAGTAATCTATTATTTCACAGAGGCACTAGACAGAGGTGTCCATTATTCACTAAAATCATCCAAGCCCCACAGCAAAAGAGAAATTTAAGCCAACTGGACAAAAGTTGAATTTCTCCCTGGACAACAGAGGATTACATGAACATCCAAGCCTCACCATAAAATCAGTCTGAATGCTGAAAACATCTGACTCGACTTACAAACCAGAAGTCTTCACTGCAATGAACAATAAATGTGAATGACCCATTTTACAAAAGATCAAACATTCTATTGAGCACATGAAGTGAAGATGTGTCTTCTTGAGCTCAGATGTGTCTGTCTCTTTGGCTCTTCTCTCTCTCCACTCAAAGAGTCTCACTTTGTCCAACTTCAAATATTTCATCAAAATAAAATCATTTCTGTCTCAACAAAGTGTATATGAACAGTACATGGATTCAATGTCTATTCTGTGTCATTCAGAGCAGCTCCAGACGTCTTTTACCTCTGACTGACATTTAGTGCTTCAGTTTTTGAAAGAAGCTCAAACTGGTTCTCAGCTTTTTGTGTGTGGAGATTTGATTCATGTCCAAAGTTCCTCGATGCAAATGTGAGACATAAGACAAGACAAGCATGAACAAATGGTCTAAAATTTAAAAAAAAAGGGAAAACAAACAAACAAACAAACAAACAAAAAAAAAAACAAAAAAAAACAGACTTTATTTTCAGATTTTGGACATGAAAAGAGTCTGTTGAGGGTTGCTAACAAGAGTCAGCAGCAACCAGAATTAATTAAATAAATAAATAAATAAACACACGCACAGTATATACATAAAAAGCTGAAAGCTTAAAGTGAAAAACAACTAAGAAAAATATGGACAAACTTCAGCTACAAAAGAAAAAAATGTTAACGTATAATTTTAAGCTTGTAATTTTTGACACCTCACAGAGCTCAGCTCTACAGTCTTGAGTTTCTGAAGCCTGTTCTCCAGTTTTTTGAGTTTGACTTTAAGTTCACATGATCCTCCAGGCAAGTCGCTCTCGAACACAGAAATCAAGTCAAGAAAAAGACTCTGTGTTGACCCTGTCCTGCTCTACAAAAACACTAAGTACTTCCCCAAAGGCCAGTTTTTTTCAAAAAGAGGCACCAGATGTAAAAAACCCCCAGACAGTGGAACAAACTTTATATGAATGGGGATGACGCCCTCTACAGGCGAGTCAATGCAACAGCTCAGCTCCTCCCAAAGGAACAACATGACACTGTCTTCAGAGCTGCACAAAAAAATGAGACTTTGAGGTTAATCAAGGTCAGAATTGACTGAACAAGAATGCAAAAACATGTAGAGCATTTTGTAATGCGCCTGGGAATGTTAAAAAGAAAATGCCCCATAAAGTCAACAGAGTCCCACTTACATGAACACAACTTTTGATTTGGTGTCGACTGACTTTTTGCACTTAGAGACACGTAAGCATGAATATGAATATGTAAGACACACTCCCTAAAGCCCTTATTTGGACGCTCTACTTCCTGCTGTTCCTTTAAACCGTGGAGGACTCTTCTGTCTCCTCCTTCGCTCCTCACTGTGGCTCAGCTCGGAGTCAGGTCCAAACGTGTGAACGATGGATTCTTCTGTAGTTTCCCCGAGTAACAACCCCACTGAGCAACACTGAGCCAAAACAACATGTTTGGCAACTGAATTACTAATACCAATGCTAATCATTTATTTTGGAGATTTTTATATAGTATTTTATTTTACTTTATGAGTTAATAGAATGTCATTTAATCGCAGAAGGCCCATACGTTTGTCCTAAAAAGCAGCATGTTATACTGTACTTTAGCTCCACAGCAGTTTGAACAATGTTTAGTCATACTTTGGAGATGTGTCTAACTTAATCTGTGCAATAAGTGCCTTTTGTCTCTCATTAAACTGAAGAAATCCCTTCAACTATCCCCTCGCTCTTGCAAACCAACCAAGCAGTGATGTGTGGCTCCGTGTGCTCTGTGAGGATTCAGTGGGAAATCAGTGTGGGCACACAGTGTACAGCCGACCTGCTGCGGGGGCTGTTACTCGGGGATACAGGGGTCATCAGAGGTATTTCCTGCAGGTTGGTGAACAGCACACAGGTCGTCATGGAGAAGCACAGAGCACACAGGCCATGGTGCTTTGTCTCTTGAGCTGGACACGAGACAGTCCCACTTCAGGACCTCAGCAGTCCTCCTGACCCAGCCTGGACCTCGGGGTGGACTCTGGGAACATGAGGCTCTGTGTGTACACTGATTTCCCTCTGAATTCCCAAATGTCCAAAAGATCCATTTCTGTCCCTATGAAAACCAAACACAAATGTACAATACGTGATAGTTGGAAGAGGGACAAATACAATTCATAGTCGTTTCCTGTGTACATGTATTTTGTATGACAATATGGATATAAGCCTCCTTCTTCACTCCTCCTCACCATTCTGCACTGCAAAACTCCATCTCACTGTAGGCAAAACAGACAAATAAATGAAACAGTTCTTCAATAATTTAATACTTATCAATATAAAAAACTGACCTGTGCTGTATTTTAGTTGGTTTTGTCAGTTTCACTGTTTTTGCCCTCCTTCTCTCTTTCTGTAGGATCCCATCTGGCTGGTGGTGGCTCAAAAAAAAAAAAAAAAAAAAAAAAAAGACTAGTTGCTGCACGAGGCAAGGACAGAGTTGTCATGGTTCATGTTCTGTAGTTGTTGTTTTTGCTTATTTTTGTGTATCTTTTCCTGTAGTGTTGTGTGCCCTTGGTGTTTTATTTTGACATTTGTCCTGTCTGCTTGTAGTTTCAGTTTTACTTCCTGTCTGTAGATTGTTTGCCCCGCCCTGTGTCTGTGTGCATCTGGGTCCGGTCAAGCAGAAGTAAACATCAAGGCCAAAAATTCAAGTTAATGCATCTGATATAAAAATGTATTGAACAGATACATATGTACTCTAGTTTATGAAACTGTTGACCTTTTTTCTGTACCATTTTTGGTTCTAAAGTTCCATCCGTTTTAAACAGACCATGTATGAAACATGGAACAAAAATTAATTCCCAAATTTCTAAGACCTGCAAATCATGTCAATAAATGGATGTATTTCATCATATCTTGTGTTATTCCATCTTTGAACTGTTGATGAAGGTACGTGATTAAAAAAAAAAAAAAAAAGTATTTAAAATGATAAAAATTAGCTTGGAAGGACTGACATATTTTATAGAAATAGTTTCCTTTCATTTTGAAGTAATATTAAAGTATTCAGAAGAAAAAAGCGACAAATGATGTAAAATCCTGCACCTTCTACTTGTTTGCACAATTTTCCCTCCGTTACTTTTCCCTCCGTTACCATGACCTTTCTTAATAAAAAATCTCATGAGTCAAAAAGTAAGAGGTTTTTCAACCTAATCTTGTACCATATGGTAGAAAACTATATGAAGCAAATATTCAAACCAGTTTGTTAAGGATATGGAAGTGAGAACCAAGAGTTATCACTGTTTGGATTTATTGCCCAAAAAGTGCTGCATATTTCATTCCCTCCGTTACCGACATGAGTTTTTTAATTTTTTGTCTTGAACTTGAAAGAATATCACAGGTTTAACTTGACCCTGTTGGAGTGTAACTCTTTCCTACATTCTGATACTTTACTTATTTCAATAGTTCCTCTAGTTTCTGAATAAGAGACATTTGAATGTCAAAAATCTGCCCCTGTTTTTTCACAAGCCAACAACCAGTGAAAATGTGCCAACACATTTGCAAAGCATTCTGGGATTTGTAGTATTAACAGTGCATGCACCACACTGGCGTGGCAGCTCTAACATGTATTTGATATGATCTCAAATAAAAAATATAATTGTATCACCGACCAAATGTGGCCCCCGAGTCTGACATGTCTGCTATAGAGACAGATAATACTCCCTACAACTGTACAACAACTCACCCTTATGTAACAGATAATACTCCCTACAACTGTACAACAACTCACCCTTATGTAACAGATAATACTCCCTACAACTGTACAACAACTCACCCTTATGTAACAGATAATACTCCCTACAACTGTACAACAACTCACCCTTATGTAACAGATAATACTCCCTACAACTGTACAACAACTCACCCTTATGTAACAGATAATACTCCCTACAACTGTACAACAACTCATCCTTATGTAACAGATAATACTCCCTACAACTGTACAACTCACCCTTATGTAACATTTCCGCAAAACGCTGACAGTCGACACACACACACACACACACACTATACACACATGCACACATACACACACACACATGTTTCTACATGTCGTCTGTGAAACATGAGGAAGTAGATAATAAAAGTTGAACATTTGCTGGTGTTAAAGACTCATTCCCTCTGCCTCTTTCAGCTGTTTCAAACAAGGTTTGACTTTATTCTTTCTAAAGTGCATTTGTATTGTTTGTGTTTGGTTATAAAAGCAGGATTTTCCTTCAGGTTTGCAGTAACTGATGTGTAAAAGTCTTTGTCTCCTGCTCTAGTTTATTGTCTGAGTTTTAATGAAGAAACCAAGAGCTCCTTTTAGTCGTTCAAACATCATTCTGTTTATTTCATCATGTCAACACTTCATTGTGACGTTGTGTGTTGTTCAGTGTTGGGGAAGTGACTTTGAAAAACTCTTGAGTTACTCATTACTAGTTACTTGTTCAAAATGTAATCTATTACACTACTTATTTAGTGGCTCAGTAAAGTCACTTAGTTCCATGAGTTTGGGACGACTTGTTTGCAGTTTGTCTAAATGAATCAAATGTGGAGCTTTTGTGTTTGATTCAAGACGTTTCAATGGAGAGAAACACAGGAGTTGTTGAAACGTCTCAAATGACGTCACAGAGATTTTACTGGGTGATTTCAGCTCCAAGCTGCTTCTCTGCCTCTGAGGAGGGACCGGCCTCATGAGGTACTTGTAATCCAATGACAGTAACTAAGTAGAAGTGAGTAAGTTGGAGCCAACACTGTGTGCTGTAGAACGTCAGTCCATTTGCACTGTTCAACACTTTGATCACTTTCTGTAACCATGGACACGATTCAAACTAATAACACAGAAAACAAGAAATCAGAGGCAACAAGTCAAATATAAAGCAAAGAAAAGAGTGAAACAAAGTGAGGAAATAGTCCACACACAGATGTATTTTGTCTTGTGCAGTGTGAGGCGTTGGTCTGGTGATGTGCTGCTCCAGTCCAAAGGTGTGGCTCTTATTCCTGTGTCTTATTTCCTCAAACTGTGGAGAGTGAAAAATACTTTCAAATACAATCAACTTCTTTTCACATTTGGGACGTTTGGTAGCAGCTTTTGTTCTACAACATTTACCGTTCAAATGCATTCATTAGAGGAACACTGTGTGCATTTGTGGAGGAGGCATGAGGAGGAGGAGAGCCTCCTTCAGGACAAATGAGAGTCAGGTTTGTGGAGAGGCAAGCCCACTCACAATAAGGATGCAGGTTTTTTTAAAACCTTTTTCAAGTGCAACAAACACAACCAAGGACTGACCCAAAGGAGAACAAAAATGTGGAGTCAATGAATTCAGCAAATATCTGAACTAGTGGGACTCGCACCACAGTTTGAGAAGCACTGCTCTAAACTTAGAGACAAACTGGACGATATTTTACATGTTGTTCTTTGTAAAGTGATATTTTATATGTTGTTCTTTGTAAACACAGTGTTGAACTCTTCGGTGTTAAAGTTGCTCTATTAACTCATCAGACTTTTGCCTTTGGGCTTCAATCTGATTCAAACGGACGAGAGCTCGATTCCCCTGAAAGTCTGGACTTTATTTCGGGTGTGAATAAAGACAAACAAACTCTGATCTGGACCAAACCAGTCCGTTTCCAAATGGGGCTGACATAATAATGTAAGTGTGTGTTGAGGAGAGAAACATTTGTGACATGTTTAAAAATGTGTGTTGTTTGGGATGAATGTTTTGTGTGTTTTTCCTTTTGAAGCAAATGAACAGAGCATGGATCAGAGAGAGCACAGAGAGGACGGAGCCCCTCCCACTAAAACAATCACTCCCCCAGAGCTCAGAGGTAAGGGACCGTCTCTAACGCTCCACCACTGTTCTCCATGTCAGAGCTCAGACTAAAGCCACTGCTCCATCTGTGTCCACCTGGGACCAGCGCCCACTCATTCAACAGTGATCGCTCTAATGATGGAGGGATTGATTTGAAAAGAGAACATGGTCCACAGTAAGTCACACTCACAACACCTTATAACGTCACCACTTTATGTCAGCAAACATTTGGATATAATGTGGGTGACGTGGTTTGAATGAAATAAAAACATGTCCAGGAGTGGTCCACAGTTCACAGAGAATCGCATTCAAATCAGAATGACACACACAAGTCTGTTCTTTGTTCCATAATTCAAACTTTAAAAATATCTAAACTGGATGTGTTTGTTGTTGAATGTGCCCTACTGAAGCGTCTGTGGTGAAGGCCTCATGAACACTTTGTAGAACGTCCTGAAGTATCTGACCTGAGTCACAACAGTCCCATGTGTTTTACTGTGACTGAAGTGTGTTTTCTTCTGTGTCTCAGGATCCACCAGAAACATCCTCCGTTTGAACCTGGTGCCAGCTGTGAGTTCTTCAGGAGTGACATGTCTAAGGATGAAGGAATGACCTTCAGGAGAGAGCTGTGAGTGTCCGCTGTGTATTATGCAGTGTTGGGGAAAAGGGCTTTTAAATATAACGGTGCTACTAACGGCGCTACATTTTTGGTAGCGGAGTAATCTAATTAATTCCACTCCACATCGTTACGATGCCGTTCTCGTTACTGGGAAAGCAAAGTGTCACAGTTGGGTTGAATGAGGCGGCGCGGTGTCAGGCTTCATGCAGCGGACAGACACACATCATCAGCAGGAGCGAGGAGAGCGAGGGACAGAGCAGGGACAACATGATTGGATAAGAAGTTGGATGGGCGGAGTCTCTTGTTGTTTCTTTCCGCACATTTCAGCTAAATGAGACAAACTCAACAAGAATGTGACAATAGCAACGAGGAGCCAGGGACATTCAAAGGTATTGTTTTCAAATTGGAAATACTGATACAATCTTTTTTTAAATAAAGGGCAAGAATGTATATGTTAAGTGTAACTGTGCCCTGGGAAAAATAATCTACTGAAACACCTCACATGATCACTAACACACCTGTAACACACCTGTAACATGCCTGTAACTCATCTGTAACACACACCTGCAAAACACCTGTAACACACACCTGTAACAGACACCTGTAACACACACCTGTAACACACACCTGTAACAGACACCTGTAACACACACCTGTAACACACACCTGTAACACACACCTGTACACACCTGTAACACACACCTGTAACACACACCTGTAACACGTCGAGCCCCGGTACAGTGAGCCTGAGTTTGAGCAAGATGGAGACGAACACACTGCAATAAAGACAAACTCCATTTTTGGGGAGATAGCACATAACATGAAAAATAACTAGATAATTCTTTTGCTGAGTAATTATTTTGTTTTACAGCACGGGAACTCAGTGACTTTATAGGTGAAGTCATTTGTAATGGTAACTAATTACATTTTAAAGTAAAATGCCCAACACTCATATTTTAGTTCAAGTTCAAGTTTTAGAAGTATATGGGGACTTAGATCTGGTATACAGGTTATTTAGTGTCTCACGAATTCTGTTCAGGTGAAAGTTTCCTTAGTTTGTCAAGTAAAGACTCGGTGACTATAATTAAAAAGTTAAAGTTTAGGGTAAAACTATATTTAATATATTTGTCCATAACAGTGCTCTGGTTTATCATATAAATTCAAAGTCCAAATGTATTTTCCTGTAAATTAAATCCAGCAGACTCCAGCACAGAACAGAGTGTTCTGAAGCGTCCCCCCACCTGTGAGTCCCTCAGGAGTGACCGCTCATTGGGAGAGACACATCATTTTGCCACAGAGCCACAAATTTTCAAAAGCATTGATCATAAGAACAATATATAAATAATCAATTATAATGATGCATCTTTCATGTGTCTCTGTGACAGAGGGGAGCAGCCGGGTCCAGAGGTCTCCAGCGGTCAGCACCATCACACACAGCTGGACTCCATATTTAAGGTCTGTCATTCACTAAAGTTTGGAAATGTTCAGATGAATGATCACACAGATCTGACACTGACTACATTTGTGTTGTTTATAATGTGTCTGTTCAGCTTCTGGAGGAGGACATCTTCACTTTTGTCCAGAAGGAGCTGAAGAAGTTCCAAAAGGTTCTGAGTACAGATGAGCCAGAAGGTTTAGATCCTGTGGAGGATGAGGATGAAGAGCAGAGGAGCTGCAGTGAGGCTGTTCTGAAGATCACACTGAACTTCCTGAAGAGGATGAAGCAGAAGGAGCTGGCTGAGCGTCTGTGGAGCAGTAGGACCATTTAACACATTTAACAAGGTGCTCACAGTCATTTTATCTTCTCTGAGACTCAGGTCTGTATCTGTTGTCTTCATTCAGGGAGTTATTCTGGAGTTTGTCAGCGTAAACTGAAGTCTGACCTGCAGCAGAAGTTTGAGTGTGTGTTTGAGGGCATCGCTAAAGCAGGAAACTCCAGCCTTCTGAATGAGATCTACACAGAGCTCTACATCACAGAGGGAGGGTCTTCAGAGGTCAACCAGGAACATGAGGTCAGACACATGGAAACAGCCTCCAGGACACCAGGCCCAGCAGAGACACCCATCACATGTGAAGACATGTTTAAAGGCCCAGCTCACACACATGGAGCCATCAGAACAGTGCTGACAAAAGGAGTGGCTGGCATCGGGAAAACAGTGCTCACTCAGAAGTTCAGTCTGGACTGGGCTAAAGGTGAAGCCAACCAGGACATACAGCTGCTGTTCCCGTTCACTTTCAGAGCACTCAATGTGCTGAAGGAGAGAAGATTCAGCTTGGTGACACTTGTTCGTCACTTCTTTCGTCAAACACAAGCAGAACTCTGCAGCTTTGAACACCTCCAGGTGCTCTTCATCTTTGACGGTCTGGACGAGTGCAGACCTCCTCTGGACTTCACCAAAACCGAGGCCCTGAGCGACCCCACAGAGTCCGCCTCAGTGCACGTGCTGCTGGTGAACCTCATCAGGGGGAGTCTGCTTCCCTCCGCTCGCCTCTGGATAACCACACGACCCGCAGCGGCCAATCAGATCCCTGCTGAGTGCATCTCCATGGTGACAGAGGTCAGAGGGTTCACTGACCCGCAGAAGGAGCAGTACTTCAGGAAGAGGTTCAGAGATGAGGCCGACACAATCATCTCCCACATCAAGACGTCCAGAAGCCTCCACATCATGTGCCACCTGCCGATCTTCTGCTGGATCACTGCCGCAGTCCTGGAGCATGTGTTGAAAAGCAGAGAGAGAGGAGAGCTGCCCAAGACCCTGACTCAGATGTACATCCACTTCCTGGTGGTTCAGGCCAAAGTCAAGAACATTAAGTATGAAGAAAGATCTGAGACAGACCCACACTGGAGTCCAGAGACCAGGAAGATGGTGAAGTCTCTGACAAAACTGGCCTTTGAGCAGCTGCAGAAAGGAAACCTGATCTTCTACGAGAGTGACCTGAGCGAGTGTGGGCTGGACGCTGCAGCGGCCTCAGTGTACTCCGGAGTGTTCACACAGGTCTTTAGAGAGGAGCCAGGCCTGTACCAGGACAAGGTCTACTGCTTCATCTATCTGAGTGTGCAGGAGTTTCTGGCTGCTCTTCACGTCCATCAGACCTTCATTAACACTGGGATCAACCTGCTCTCAGAGAAACAAACATCATCATGGACAAATTTTTTTAGCAGCAAATCAGAGCAGTTTTACCAGACAGCTGTGGACCAGGTCTTACAGAGTCCATACGGACACCTGGACCTGCTTCTCCGCTTCCTCCTGGGTCTTTCACTGTCGACCAATCAGAGCCTTCTACAAGGTCTGCTGACACAGACAGGAAGTAGCTCCCAGACCAATCAGAAAACAGCTGAATACATCAAGAAGAAGCTGAGTGAGGATGTGTCTGCAGAGAGGAGCCTCAACCTGCTCCACTGTCTGAATGAACTGAATGATCGTTCTCTGGTGGAGCAGATCCAACAGTTCCTGAGATCAGGACGTCTGTCTGAAGGTGAACTGTCTCCTGCTCAGTGGTCAGCTCTGGCCTTCATCTTACTGTCATCAGAAGAAGATCTGGACCAGTTTGAGCTGAAGAAATACTCTGCTTCAGAGGAGTTTCTCCTGAGGCTGCTGCCAGTGGTCAAGGCCTCCACCAAAGCTCTGTGAGTCTCCTTTGTTTAACAAAGGATGGTTTGATTCAACTTCTACATAAACAATGTTTTCTGTCTCCAGACTGAGCAGCTGTAACCTGTCAGAGAGAAGCTGTGAAGCTCTGTCCTCAGTCCTCAGCTCCCAGTCCTCTAGTCTGACAGTCCTGGACCTCAGTCTCAACGACTTGAAGGACTCGGGGCTGAAGATGTCGTGTGTTGGACTGAAGAGTCGTCACTGTAAACTGGAACAGCTCAGGTCAGAGGGGTTCATATTCTGCACTATTATTACATAACCTGCTGGCATTTGCGTTGGAAAATCACGTTTGATAAAGTCACATAAAGATATGGGACTTGTTCTTTGTCTCATTTGGGTTGAATGTTCCTAATGAATGGGCTCATTCCAATAACCTGTGTCCTCAGACTGTCAGGTTGTCTGCTCTCAGAGGAAGGCTGTGCTTCTCTGGCCTCAGCTCTGAGGTCCAACCCCTCCCATCTGATAGAACTGGACCTCAGCTACAACCATCCAGGAGACACAGGAGTAAAGCTCCTGTGTGCTCTACAGGAGGACCCCCACTGCACACTGGACACTCTCAGGTATGGACCTGTCCTCACACCGTGGCTCCTGTGAAGCAGGAACTGTAGTGTAAACCTAGTGTCATAAAGAATCAGCCCATTTGAACAGATTAAACTTAAAGCCTTAATGAGCCACAGTAATAAAACATGTTCTCCTTCAGAATGGAGCCTGCAGGTGTTCACTGGTTAACAGTTTGCCCGTGGAAGAGTGAGTATAAAATAAATGCAAATACAGTTATGCTTTTTTGTTCTCAGAATTTAATACATTAAGAACACATGGAGAGTTTAGTGTCCAGTTTTATAGTTTTATTATCAGCAATAGTCCAACTCTACATCCAGGACTAAATCCAGAGCAGTACTTAAAGCAGATCCTGAAGAGTCCAGTCTGGAGCTGTGGAACTGCACTCATGTTTCAGCTGAAACATGTACAACAATGATCTTCATTCTTCTTCTGGAGACAGTGGATTTAAACCAGTCCCCTGTTCTCCTCTGAGCTGTGCCTCTGCTGTCAGTCCTCCTCATCACCAGAACAACAGCAGATCTCACACAAACACTGGCAAAAGGACAACAGCTTTGAACAAGCTCCTGCAACACAGAGCCACATGTCTCAACCCCTGTGTGCACCAAACCCCATCAGAACTACTGCTGTAGGAGCAAAGGAGGAGCACCAAACCCCATCAGAACTACTGCTGCAGGAGCAAAGGAGGAGCACCAAACCCCATCAGAACTACTGCTGCAGGAGCAAAGGAGGAGCACCAAACCCCATCAGAACTACTGCTGCAGGAGCAAAGGAGGAGCACCAAACCCCATCAGAACTACTGCTGCAGGAGCAAAGTTTGGGGGTTGTAGCTCTGGAGCCACGGACACAGTCACAGCTGTTGGACTCAGCACAGGACTGTGATCTCACATGGAGACATTTAAAGAGGGAATGATACAAAAAACGTCTTCTTTAGGTTTCTCCCACATTATAACGACTCGTCTGTTGCCATACCGGCTTGTCAAAGCCTGATCCCGTCAGATCTCAAAAGATAAGCAGAGGCTGGGTCTGGTCAGTACTTGGATGGAGACAATGGGAATTCCAGGAGTCACGGGAGGCGCCAGTGGCAAAAACTGTCCTTGTGTCCTTAGGCAAGACACTTCACCCACATTGCCAAATATGAAAGTGGTATGTGTGAGAGATGGTGGTGGTGAGAGGGGCCGATGACGCAGATTGGCAACCTTGCCTCTGTTATGCATGCAGACTGCATTCAGTCTGCCCCAGGGCAGCTGTGGCTACATTAGTAGTTTACCACCAACAGTGTTGAGTGAATGAATAATGGACTGTAAAGCGCTTTGGGCATCTTGAAAGGTGCTGTATAAATGCAATGATTAACAAACCTCCCTGAAGACTCATCCATGTTTGAGTAATCTAGCGATCTCTTCCAGGCCCTATTCAAACCCTCCTTACTGTTAGCAGTACGAGTCTGTACGAGGCTCCACCCACAAGCCTACGTCCCCCATGCTCCCACACGACAATTCTCCATAAATACACAAAAACATGACACAAAGCTGTACACAGCAACTGGACAAACCTGATGTGATGTGCAGGAATTTCATTAGTGGTTGTGGGTGTTGGGATAGTGCTCTGAAGGGGGAGGGACTTAGCATGGGGAGGAAAGAGAGGGGAGACTCAGAACACACCCCCTCTTTAAAGGAGAAAGTGTGTGTCCTGGAGCACAGAGGAGTGTAGGAATGTGTGGAGTGACGTCAGAGACTGGAGCTGCACTTTGTCACTGCTGCAACAAACTCCAGAGAAATCCAGATTTACACTGAGAATAATCTGAAATAGACTGGTGTGGGGCTGTGAAAGGAAATGTTTTTACTAGTGCTGTCATGCGATTAAAAAAATTGAGAGATTAATTAATTATGATCTGTAATTAATTAATCTAATTAATCTCATTTTAATCTCACCTAAAAATTGCCGAGAAAAGCCTTCAATATGAGGTATTTTCATTTAAATTCATTATTACATTATTGTGGCAGATCAAAAGACTAATATAGATTTAAAAAAGTGACTTTATAAAGTCATTTATTGTTTAACAAATCTCTCCAAATTGGCTGTTGAGCCCAAGTCTCCATGAATAAGAAACTGTTTGCTGTAAAGTAGCAAAGACGAGGAAATCTGAACATAATAACTTTTGTCTACTTAAAGACAATAAAAAGTCCAGTCTTTCCTTAACCATATTAAAAATATTATTGATAGAGAAATGCTTTTTATATGAAATCACTGGTTTTAGTCCTTGTTTTAGTCCTGGTTTAGACCTGCTTTAGTCCTACTTTAGTCCTAGTTTAGTCCTGGAATGGGTTAGTCCTGGTTTTAGTCCTGGTGTTAGTCCTGGTTTAGACCTGGTTTAGACCTGGTTTTAGTTCTGGTTTTAGTCCTGGACTGGGTTAGTCCCGGTTTTAGTCTTGGTGTTAGTTCTGGTTTAGAGGCGCACAGGAGGAAGCGCGGTTTACGAAGCGGTTTACGCAGCATACGCGAGAAAACGTACGCGGCGCACGGGAGCAAGTCGGTGTCGGTGTTTTTACCTGTGCACTGCTGACTCTGTTCTACTGGCTCTTCGACCTCGTCCATTGTGACTGACGCCGCCAACGTTAACATGATGTTTACATCGCTCTTACTGCACGCGTTTTGTGTGGGATTCCGGCAATGAGTGGAATTACCGAAATTAAAAAAAATTTATAAATGTGTTTTTGTGCGTGTAAAAACAGATTTTATAATAAAGCAACTCGCATATAGAAACAGTAAAGTTAGAGATTAAAAATGAGATTAACGCGATTAAAAAACATAACTCGCTAAATATGACTGTAATTAATTAATCGCAATTAAGGCGATAATTTGACACCCCTAGTTTTTACACTCACATAAATGTGAGTCAAACAGAAGAGTGGAATGATGAGAGTGGACAGGAGACTAACTGCCGTTGTGTTGTTTTCTCTCCATCAGATTTCTGTGATCTCTCTCTGGATCCAAACACAGTGAACGGAAACCTCAAACTGTCTGACAACAACAAGAAGGTGACACGTGTGACAGAGAAGCAGCCATATCCAGATCATCGGGACATATTTAACATCTGGTCTCAGATTCTGTGTTCCACTGGTCTGACTGGTCGCTGTTACTGGGAGGTCCAGTGGAGTGAAAGGGTTTCTATATCAGTGTCTTACAGAACAGTCAGATGGAAAGGAGTCGGTTTTGACAGTTTATTTGGACAGAATGATCAGTCCTGGAGTCTGGAGTGTTCTGAAGGTGGTTTCTATGTTTGTCATAATAAGAAACAAACCCTCCTCCCTCAGCCCCGCTCCTCTTCTGGGAGAGTAGCAGTGTTTGTGGACTGTCCTGCTGGCTCTCTGTCCTTTTACACAGTCTCCTCTGACCAGCTGACCCACCTCCACACCTTCACCACCACATTCACTCACACTCTGATCACTGGGTTTAGACTCTGGTCTGAAGACTCCTCAGTGTCTCTGTGTGCTCCGACAGACTCACTCTCCTCGTTGTAAAACAGTCTGACATTTTTCATCCATTTTTACATCGTTGAACAAAAAAAGTGATGTTAATAGTGGAGTTTGACAGGAATAGAGTGCAGACATGAGCCTCACTTCAGCATCTGGATGAAGATAATTGGATCATTTCATGCCAAATCTCCAAAAGCCCCACTTGACTACCTCAGATTGACTGAAAAAATTCTAGGAGGTTCACACACTTTCCAACAGGAAAAGTCCCAGATTTTATCTCCCAACTCCTTATAGTTTTGTCATTAAAAATATTTTGTCATCTCCCCCCTGACCTGTTTTGAGCAGTTTTCCGAGGAGCCACTTTCAGATTTCTGTATCTAATAAACTATTTAAAGGTTGTATGGAGGATTTTTTTTTTTGTTTCAAATTGTCAATGATAGCATTATAGAGATGCAGCAGCCTTGTAATTATGATGACCAAAAAAAAGAGAATAAAAATTCATCAACTCTGGACGTGGTGGGGCTAAACATTTGCCAATAGATAACGACACTGCCTCGTTATCTGTTAGCTGACAGGCTGTCAATCAAACTCCCTACGTTTCTAGTGTAACTGACTTGCCTGCGTGCCGCCGGTACGTGGCTTACGTACGACTGTCACGCAGTCCACAGACGCAAGACGCACAGATGCTGTTTACTCCACCAACGCAACAGTTCTTAGCGGCTTTTTTTGACCTATATCTTCCTCGCAGTTAGCACAAAGTTTGTTGCGATGGCGACAAGAATCCAGGAGCAGTTCGCCGCAAAAGAAAGTCTGTTTTTGAGGTCGCTAAAAGAAGAAGACAAGGGGAAAAGCAGCGAAGCCAAACTAAGGTGATTCTTATAGATTCATTCCAGCGATGGCGCAACTGAAGCAGACGCAGGGTCTAAAGACTGACACATTGGTCGCCAAATTACTCCTGGACAGGTAACTTCTGCTTATTATGAAAACGTACTTTATTTCCAAGAGCTAGTCAAACGTTTTTCAGGACACGAAAGCGATATCCTATGTCTGAAAACGTAATTTTCAAGGCAAAGAAAGAGTCCGCTTGCTGCTGCGTGTTGGAGCTAGTTCATTCGCACTGAATCTCCGCGCACTCTTCTCTGCACCCCTTCCTGCTCCTGTCCCCGCTGCCCGTTCCGCTCTTCCCCCTGCTCCTCACTTCTCCGGGCACGGAATCTCACAGTTGAAGCTGTGTGTCAAACATTCAGTGTTTTCTTCTCAAAGTGTCTTCATAGTCCATGAATGCTCTGCATGTTTGCAGACACATTTTAAAAAATTAATTTTGCAAAAATAAGTCAGAACAGCATCACAAATGTTGGATATGTTAAAAACAGATGTCTACTCTTTCTAAAACAGTCCATTTTCTGTTGGTGGGTGCTTCATTTTTTTGGTATAACATGGTAAAGATGCACCAAATGTATTTTGTTCCATTTTGAACACTTAATATCTTGTAGAGCGTCATCACCGAGGCTCAGTTTTAAAATACAAAGTCCACAGTGTCGTGTGTGGGAAGGTGTATGTTCAATATCAAACCTCTGTCTTTGAAACTGCACTTTCCACAGTCCTTCAAAGACGCCCTCACATTTGAAAAGGACAATTTTCCAGCAAATTCAAGCCCCAGAAATCTGTGATAAACCAAAAGCACATGTGTAAAAGTCCAGATTGTCAAATGTACTTGACATTTGACAAATTTTAACCCTTGAAAATTTGAAGGACCTTAAATAGTTTTTTAGATACAGAAATCTGAAAGTGGCTCCTCAGAAAACTCTGCTCAAAACAGGTCAAGGGGGAGATGACCAAATATTTTTAATGACAAAACTATAAGAATTTGGGAGATAACATTTTGGGGGATTTGTCCTGAAATGACCCAAATGTCTAGTGTGAGAGATGTGTGTGGGTGTTATATGTGTACGGGACCACAACTCTGTAAAGTGTCATGAAATATTTGAAAAAAACATTCTCTCTGTCTTTATACTTCCAAATGTTTGTCATGTCAAGGTTGTGTTCTGTGTTGTGTCCACCAGAGGGCGGTCACAGTCAGTCTGAGAATGAAAAAAAAAAATGGACCAAATAGAGAAACTTGTGAGTTTTTATAAGACAGAGCAACTTTTAACCAACACCTGCAAACTCATCACATTCACTGGACTCCAGGCTGGCTGACTCCTGGCTCCCAGTAGCTCTTGGAGAAGTCACTAGCCCAGGGGTTCACAGACTTTTTCAACCCTGCACTGTGAGTTTTTACATGTTGTATTCAAAGAAAAACTGAAAACATATCAGTTTTGTGCAGTATTAGTTAAAGCAGAATGTGTTTGTCTGTTGTTGTGACTTAGATGAAGATCAGGAATCCGTGTATGTGTGTGTTTCATCCTGCTCCTCCTACCCCTCCTTTCCCTGCTCCCTCTCTCTGTATTTACTTACCTTGTTTGGCATTTCCTGGGCGGGCCCCAATCATGCACCTGCTGAGCTCCACTCCTGATCCTCGTCAGTAATCATCTCTGGCAATAAAAGACCTGCTGACCTGCTCTCCAGTGCCAGATCGTTCTGTCAACCAAGTGGTGAACTACTCAGGCTATTTGTGTTTTTGAGCTTTTTGAAGGTTTTTGTGTCTTACCTGTTTACTTTTGTCCGTTCCCCAGTTCAACTGTTTTGGAGCCAGCCTCATCCCGTTACCACCTGTTCCTCAAGCCTCTGGTCAGCCTCTTCACCTTTGCACTTCAGCCAACCTGGACCCGTCCTACCTCCCCTGGAATCAATCCCCCTGTCCACGACTATTTTGTTAATAAATACTTTTTGTTACTGCATATTTGGGTCCGACCAGTAATTCCTTAACAATATCGTTCGTTCATTCGTTTTTCAGTATAAAACCAAAAATAAGAAAATGTTCGTTTTTTCAGTTTTAGATTTTGTGTTTAAATGAAGAATGGATAAAATTGATAACGACCGTTTCCTGTTTACGTGACTCCCATGACTGCGATGTCGGACTTTTGCTCTGCATATGGACTGTCATTAACAGTTTTTTCCATTCTTCATTTAAACACAAAATAGAAAACTGAAAAAACGAATCATTATCTGTTTTTTCATTTTGGTTTTGGAGACGAATAATGAAGAAAACTGTTGTTTTTTTCATTTTCTTATTTTTTGGTTTTATATTGAGAAATGAATGAACGAACGATACAGGGATTATCAGGACACATTTTATGTCCAATTTATGCAGAAATCCAAGTAATCCAAAGGGTTCACATACTTTTTCTAGTAACCGTAATAAACAGCAATCGACAGATACATAAAGACAATTATTTTACATCACTCGTTACAAATATAATCTCCAGATAAAAATATACAGCCATAATTCATGAAAGCAATACTGTGCTTCTGCCAGACTCTTCTAATCGTACGTCACATTACTCCAGATACAAAATAAATATGTTCTAGTTTACATTCAGATGACAAATTCACTTCAGTTCCTTCTTCTGCACACTTAGCTATAATCATTTCTTTATATCTTCCTTTCAACATTTTCAGATTTGGGCATTTTTTGAGCTCATCACAACATTTTGACCCACAAAAACTGAAACACAAAAACTTTTCCTTGTTGTTCGGACTCTGGACATTCTAAAGAGACGCATTCCCCTTAAATGACAAGAACTTTCTCCCTCAATCAAATGTTTGTGAATATGTTTTGGTCATTCTTTCCTTTTTGCCTTGTACATTATTTTGGCGCTCTGGAACTTGATGAGTTTATCCTTAAGTTTGAACATGTTTGAAGTGATACAAAGCTGCTTGGTGTGCTCATAAAAACCAACCTTATGAATTATTCCTCGTGCTCTTTTCTGTCATATGAAAAGTGCAATATTGTTTTAGAATTATTAGCCCAGATCTCAGCACAGTACGAATATGGTGCAACTGAAGAACAATAAAGTGTCTGTAGAGCTTTGTCCACTAAATATTTGGCCTTACCTAATACTGTTTTTGGATATTTGACTCTGTATATATTGTACGTGTTCTTTCCAATGACGTTCTTCATGAGTAATAACACCTCGCCCTAAAAAGCCTGACACATGAAATAATAGACACAACATTCTGATTCTTTCATATTTAACTCTTTATTGGACCTTTGAACAAAATGTAAAAAAAAAATAATGATAACTTTGACCATTTTATAAACACCTAGAACACAGAACCTCGAGCTCCAGGTGAATGACACAGATTATATTGAGCACAAAGCCCAAACTAACATGAAGTTTGTTGATATGGTGCGGTTATGGAATAGATTGGTTAATATGACAGACACAAGATGAACCAAACATGTATTTAATTGGAGTCTGTTACATAAATCGTCCTGGAATAGAGAGATGGAGAAAATTTTTGAGATTGCAGATCTCTGGTTTATTTATAGAAATAAATTAATCTGTAGTGTCAGACAAGCGAGGAACATTTACTTTGATAAGCATAAACAAAAGTGGCACAATGAAATCTTATGTAAACCAAAATTAAGAACATATATCTGAATTAAAGACTGTTTTGGACCTGAGCCATATGACACCCTGAACCTGAGCAGAGGTCAGAGGTCAGTATGTGCCCAGTTGAGGTGTGGGACTCTGCCTCTGGCCTTGGAGACGGGACGATTCCACTCTTACTCTTACTCTTGGTTTGCTGTGTCTGATGAGGAGAGACTGAAGTATTTGTTTAAATGTAATGTCTTTAAATTGGCTCAGTTTGTGTTGAAAGCCTGGGATGTCTGTAAGAGGACACTTTATATTTGATGTGTGATCTGTCTGCTTATTGTTTTATGTGTCTTATAAGCCCTTGCAGGCTGAGCAGCAGTTAAATGGTGCATGACACTAAATAAGTACAATAAACTAAGGAAACTGATCTAGATAATAACATTCCTCAGAGTACAAAGAATCATTGTTTCTATTTCACAGAGGACACATTTAATAAAGAAAATATACTGGACCAAAAAATATCTTGAGTTCAAACTGGACAAGCACATTAGCGCTGTGATTAAGTCCAGCTTCTTTCAGTTAAGGCTCCTCACTAAAGTAAAGCCCGACCTCCCACGGGCAGAGTTCGAAAAAGTGATCCATGCTTTCGTGACATCACGCCTGGACTATTGTAATTCTTTATATGTAGGGTTAGACCAGGGCTCCATGCAACGCATACAACACGTCCAGAACGCTGCAGCTCGTCTGCTGACAAATAC